CCTGCTCTGTGTCAGGTGCCGGTTTCTTTGCTGCCATTTCCCTCCTCCTCACTCTGTGAGGTTGGCACTCTTTCCCTTTACCTGTGAAGAAATGAAGATGAAGGAGTTAACGCCCCAGCCCAAGAGCCAGTAGAAACTCAAACTCAAGTCTTTTTGCCTGAACACTTTACACTACTTCCAAACTACATGGGTCTACTGGCTTTTACTGCTGGAGAAGGAGACAAAAGTGGGGGAAAAAAAAGAAAACGAAAACAGAACGAAACAAAAAGAGAGACGTGGAAGCACTAACCTTGAGTTTCTATGAAATCAATAAAGAACCACTTTTTTTTTTAGAGTTATAAGAAACATTTTTAATATCAATTTTAAGTTAGAGAGATGCACAATTTTTGTGTTTTTTAAAAATTTATCAGAACGGGAAAGAGAAAAAATTTGAAAATCATTGTTATACAGCAAGCATTAATTTCCAATAAAATTTTACATATTTTCTTAGTAATTCATGTAAAATTTTTATCCTAATTATAATGAATCAAAAACATTGCATCTTAAATCATTCCATATACAAGATGAACCGCCTTATTGTCTTATGGGTGAGTTGCTACTGCATTATCTCTTCAGAACTGGAAACCTGGGTTGAGCTGAAGCTACCTACAGCCAGGTTCCTTCTTTTCCCTGTCTGCATATCACATAAATGTATGGATAGAAATGGCAATGGTGATTTTGTTAGTATTGTTTGTTTTTCCTAATTGCTCTCTGTGCTCAGGAGATAACCACTGAGAAGAAATGTCCAGAATTCTGTCATGGATTTGGTACAGATTTTTCCAACTACAGTTGGAGAAATTTTCCATGAATTCATCTTGTATACCTTATGGTAGACTGAAAGGACCTCTCTTCCATTGGCAGTGAGGTTTAAATAATTTAATGTATGTAACAGCACATCTCAACTCCAATCTACTTTCCTCACAACATCTCCATTTCTTGCCTGTTGTTCAAACTTTTGCTGCATTTTGCTGTTCAGCCGAAAGCTTCTGTGACTTCAAATCTGACGACCTCTCTATGTTGTCTTATAATAAAACCCTACATTCAGACTTTAAGCTTCAACTTCTATATTAATTGAATACAGCTATTGCTACAATAATGCTACATAACAAATCACTCATAAACTTAGTGGCACAGGGGCTTCCCTGGTGGCGCAGTAGTTAAGAATCCGCCTGCCAATGCAGGGGACACGGGTTCGTGCCCTGTTTTGGGAATATCCTACATGCCGCGGAGCAAGTAAGCCCCCGCGCCACAACTACTGAGTTTGCGCTCTAGGGCCCGTGTGCCACAACTACTGAAGCCCGCATGCCTAGAGCCTGTGCTCCGCAACGAGAAGCCACCACAATGAGAAGCCCGTGCACCGCAACGAAGAGTAGCCCCCACTCAACGCAACTAGAGAAAGCCCACACACAGCAACAAAGACCCAATGCAGCCAAAAATAATAAATAAATAAATAAATTTTAAAAATAAATAAAAAGCAAACGTTATAAAAAAAACAGTGGCATAAAGCATTAACTCACTTGTCTGTGGGGTCCCTGGATACTTCTGATTCTGGTTATAGGTGTGAAGATCAACTAGGGCAACTGTACTTCATATATCTTATTCTGGACCCCAGTTTACAGGGGGTGAGGCTGCCTTGAAGCTACCAGGAAAATACTACCTAGAGCATTTTGTTCTCATGTTGGAGGCTGGAAGCTCATAGGAATTTTAGGATTTAGAAACTTACCTCTCAAGAAAATGTGGCCTTCCTACCATATATACAATATTTCTCTTATTTAAAAAAATTATATATATAATTTTTATTTTGTATTGGAGTATAGTTGATTAACAATGTTGTGTTAGTTTCAGGTGTATAGCAAAGTGATCCAGTTATACATATATATGTATCAATTCTTTTTCAAATTCTTTTCCCATTAAGGTTATTACAGAATACTGAACAGAGTTTCCTGTGCTATACAGTAGGTCCTTGTTGGTTACCTATTTTAAATATAGCCGTGTGGGGGACTTCCCTGGTGGTCCAGTGGTTAAGAATCCGCCTTCCAATGCAGGGGATGTGGGTTCGATCCCTGGTTGGGGAACTAAGATCCCACATGCCATTGGGCAAATAAGCCCGGTTGCCTGCACTCTGGAGCCTTCAGGCCACAACTAGAGAAGCCCGCACACTGCAAAGAAGACACACGCAGCCAAAATAAATAAATAAAAATAAATAAATATAGCAGTGTGTACATGTCAATCCCAAACTACCAATCTATCCCTCTCCCCCCAGCCCCTTCCCCTCTTGTAACCATAATCTCATTCTCTAAGTCTGTGAGTCTGTTTCTGTTTTGTATATAAGAACCACTTTCTTGATGCCTGATTCCAGCTGTCCTCAATTCTTTTCCAGGTTCCTTGACCTTTATTTGATATTGACATACATTCTGGAAGTTAGTAAACGGTGATAAAATATTCCACAAACATGAAGTGATTGTTTAGTTTTCAGCCTGTTCAGTGAAATGAAGTATCAGCTGATTTGGCACCCAACCCAGCATGTGATTGTGTTGCTTCCTTCATGAGTTTTTTTCAGAGGTATTTTTTCTCTTGACTAGATTCTACGATTGTAACTATCAAAGTTAATAAACTGTTCCAATTTACCAATTTCTTGTTTGTTACCTATTTTTCCATACTTTTTTTTTTTTTTTTTTTTTTGTGGTACGCGGGCCTCTCACTGTTGTGGCCTCTCCCGTTGCGGAGCAC